ATATTTTATAAAATAATTATTGAATCAATTAAAGTAAAAGATGATTAACATATGAACATGAACCGCTCGAGTTTATTTTGAATTAACCCGATCGGAAATGTCGGAAGGTGATTTTCAAGGCAAAGACCCCATATATTCTAACTGTTAACAGGTAACTACTTAGGTAATTCGGTTCACTTATATTGATATAGGATGTTAATATAACGTATTTAATTGTCAATAATCATTGGATCGAACGCTAGACCAAAAAGAATATTATTGATTTTTTATTTAAAAGCTTTAAGTCAGCTTGCATAGCAGAAGACACCTTTTGACTTCAAGAATATTAATAAATTAATCATTTATCAATTCATTACATATTTCTTTAAAATTTTGATAATGCGATTAAATCTGTTTTTTGTAGCTTTTATCTTTAGCATCTTGATTGGCAACGTAACTGCTACTAATAATGACAATAGATAATTTTTCAAATGACAACAATCAAGTTTGTATCATCATGAGTTATTTTAATAAATCAGTAAATGTTATTTGACATTGAAATTTTTTTTTTTTTTTTGGTGTTATTTAAGCTTGCAAAATTGATGACAACTGTAAGACAACCCTAATTTGTGCTAAAGGTCAATGTGCAGAGTCGGATAAACGATCTTTCAATGCTTCGTGCCTTATTGATAAAGCATACGCAGGCGAATTTTGTAGGATTTTTACTGATAGTCGGCAAGGATGTACTTGTACCACAGGAGAACAGTGTAATACTGATTAAGAATGTCTGAAAGTGTTTGTTCACAAAACTCAACGACATGTGTAGATGCGCTTCTGGACAACCTTGTATTTTTTTATAGCGCGTGCAAGTGGCCGTTGTGGTTTTACTTCTAGAAAAAGAATATGTGCCCAGAATAGTGGAGGACAATGCAATAATGATACTGATTGTGCGTCTTTAGTTTGCGGTCACACAACCGCATGTGTCAAGACACAGATGATCATAAAGGGGGAGACCTTTGCGAAACTAATAGTGCATGTGGTCCAAATAGTTGTAATCATTATTCAGTAAAATGCACCCTGGACAATGGGAAAAAATACGAAGACGATAACGATTGTGAATCTTCAGTTTGCGATCAAAAAATTCATGTGTGTCAAGATAAGGATGATCGTAAAGGGGAACCCTTGCAAAACTTCTAGTGCATGTGAAAATGGTATCTACCAGAAGGGATCTAAGTTTGGAGGCGAAAAAGGGAAATACGTTTTACAACTAAGCAATGGGAAAAAATGTAATGACAATAACATACAGATAATCGTGAAGATGGAAGCTTTTGCGAATCTCTTTTCACGTGTAAATCTAGAGGAAAATGTGCGCTGCCAACTTAAAAACAGGTCATAATATTATTTTTAGAGGAACGTATTTTAAAAAATGCATTTGCAAATGCAATATAAATTTACACAATTGAATTTTTGTGAATGAACTGATTATTGGTATAGCTAAATTTCGATAGGAATCTTAGACTGGTTTTGAATCAAAATAAATTAAAATTGAATAATGCCAGATTGCTTTTTATTACATAAAAAAACTCAGATAAAAGACCCATGAAATTACATTGAATAGTATAGGAATTCTGTTTTCCCCCTTCTCTTACTTATTTTATTTTATTTATTTGTTTAAAAAAAAAAAAAAAAAAAATTATTTTTTCTTTTCAATTTTATTTAAAATTGTAAGAATACAACTTACAATAAATTACAATACAATATACGGATTATTGACAACACATAACGCAAAAATCTGCAAAATTCTTTAAATTTACTATTGATTTTACGAATTGCTACTTAAAGTAAAATTCTAATATTTTCGATAGTATAATATTCATTAGTCAAAATCAATCAAAATATAATAAAATTTCGGCTGTCCTGTCCGTACCAACGTACTTGATTTGTCAGAACTAAATCCTTACGTAAGTATATGGCTCATGACTTTAATTAACAGATTCTGATCAACTTTTGACAATAATAAAAATTACTCGCTATCACGAATATGTTGACCATTTCAAAGTATCCGATTGGTCAGAACTAATAAGTACATGACTCATGACTTCAAATCGTCAGTAAAG